TAGGGGGAGGAAGGCGGCGGAGGGCGGGGTTACTTCGGTGCTGTTTGTACCCTGCTGGCTCGCGGACGAGAGGAGTGGTAGCTGCCGGTGGGGCTGGTGGTGGTGGTGGTGGTGGTGGTGTATGTTACTGCCCGCGCTGCTGCACTACTTCTGTCGACACAGCACGTCGGAACCCTTCTCTCTCCCCCCCACACACACTCTCACACCCCATCTCCCCATGCTGCCTTCTCCCGGGGGCCGCTCACACAAGTCAAGTTGCCCTCCTGTCGCATCGCGGCGTTCTGTTGTGCACCCCATCACCCACATGTCGCCAGCTCGCTACTGAGGCCCCCTGAGGCACTGGGTGACCCCCCGCGTGCGCAACCCCTGTAGGGACCTCGACGGAGGAGGGCTCCATGCGGACGCCCCTCCTGGGCCCGGATGGCGGGGTGGGGCCGGGAGCCGAATCCGCATTTCGGGAGGATGACATCGAGGCGGCGGTACGGAAACAGGCGCAGCAGCAAATGGAGGTGAGCGGCTGTGTGTGCGCGGGGGGGGGAGGGCGCTGCTGTGAGGGCCCCCGGGGATGTAACTGTGTATATGTGTGCCCATGACGCCATTTCTCATCCTCCTCCGGCTTTGGACTCCGGCAGCTGCAGCTGCTGCCTTCGACGTCGGCCGTATTTCTCTGGCTTCTCGACTTTGTCTGGTTTTTCCCCCTTTCCCCCTGTCCCCCTGTCCCCCTTGCTGTCCCTCATTCCCCCGCCCTGCTGGTCGCCGTCAGGTGTCGGCTCTGGAGGATTCGGTCCGCTACCACGAGGCGCTGATTTCGGAGCGAGATGCGGGTATTCGTGAGATCCAGCGGCAGATTGTCGAGGTTAATGAGCTCTTCCAGGACCTGGCAGTGCTCATTGCAGACCAGGTGGGGGACATGGGGGAGGGGAGGGGACGGGAGGAGAGAGGCGCAGGAGAAGGCGCCGCAGGGCCGTGAGCCTGTGTGTGTTCCTTCCACCTCGACCCCCTATTCCCCCCCGCCCGGGGGACCTGTGTGTATCGCGTCCCGCCCCGACTCACCCCTCCCCCTTCATAGCTGCCCCCTCGCATCGGGGCCACCTGCCCCAGCCCCCCTTGTGTGAGAGTTGCTGGGTTTCTTTTCCCCCCTCCACCTCCCTTTCCTGCCCCTCCCCCCTCCGCCCGCGGCCCTCCTCCTCGCACCCCCAGGGCGATCAGCTCCAAACGGTGGACGAGCACATCACCAGTGTGGCCGAGCGAGTCAAGGACGGGCAGCGGGAGCTGGTGGCGGCTTCACGCAGCAGCCGGGCAGTACGGAACAAGTGCTTGTGGCTGTGGCTGGTGGCGGCGGTGATCGTGTCGGTGCTGCTCATCATTCTGCTCACGTGATCAAGAGGGGACGGAGGAGGGGTTACGCGAAGGGGAAGACGAAGGGTGGGAAGCGGGGAGACGGATGTACGGGGGTGGTCAGTTTGGCGAGGCTGGAGTGTCGTACCAGCACCACTTGCAGCGCCGCGGCCCCTGATGAGCGAGTGGGGGGAACCGCAGCCGGCGGCGTTGCTCCCGTCCCCCCCGCTGTTCCAGTGGTGTTGGGATGGCGAGGAGGACGAGGGTGGGGAAGGGGGAGGGGGTTGGAGGAGGTGGTGCCCGGGGGGCCCTCAGTCCCAGCAGCCGCCAGCGACCCCCAGGCTTGGTCGGAGGAGCACTGAGCGCGGCTCTGGTTCCCTTGCTGGACGAGTTTGGCACTGGGTGGACTGGTGCGTATCTATGTGTATGCGTATGCGGCTCTTAACTAGGCCGCTGAAAGGTGGCGGTTGGAAAGGTGGGGCAGCGGCCGCCGCGATCGGGTCCCCTTCCCCCCGGGATTGAGAGGAAAGGGGAGAGTGCTGCTGCTGCTGTGGTGGTGCTTGCTGTTGCTGTTGTCATTGTTGTTATTGGCAGGGGGGAGGCTGAGCGGGCGGAGGGGGTTTGAATTTTAATGTGGGGGTGGGGGGTTTGGGGGGGCCTGGTGGCGGATTCCTCAGAGCTTTAAGTCGGTGAGCTGGAAGTAGAGTGGAAAGGGGACCTGGTGGCAGTGGCGTGGTGCGCAACATGGTACCTCCATACCGTACTCGGGGGGTGGGTGGGTGTCGCTGTGCCGCGACCTGGGCCACCGCAGTTCTACACAGGTGGGGGGGGCTGCCGCTGCAGGTTGTGTGCAGACGTACGGCCGTGTTCCGGTGATTGAGCTGCGGTGGGGGAAGTGCAGGATGGTGCATGGATGGTGAATGGCGCCCTGAAGGGTACAATGTACGGACTGCGGAGTACGGGGAGGTTTGTTTGTAGTCGAGTTGTGTTTGCGGGAGGTAGGATGGCAGGTAGTGGAGTGCAGGAGGGCGGAACAGGCGTGCGAGGTACTCCGACCGGCCTGACCGGTGCGGGCCGCGGCAGGAAGGGGACAGGGAAAGGCGGGAGAGAACTCGTCCGAGTAGGTGAATTAAAGAGTACAATCGTGTCATCATATATGAGCACAACAGGGGATGTACAATTGTCGACTCGCTTTTCCACAGGTCCTTATCGTAGGAAGTGCAAGCACCGGTCGGGACAACATATGGGAGGCGCAGAAGTCGGAAGCCAAAATCCATAAACTCTTCACCTTTTGCCCGTACAAGCTGGACAGTCGTACACCCCTGTACAGCCGTACTTCAGGCTGAGGCATATTACTGATGTTCCTATATTGTTAAGGAAGCAGGAAAAAGACAAAAGGCCATATCGCTCTGCATCTCTAGAGTGTGTGTACATGGAACTACACCTACATTGGCCCCCCCCGTGGGGGCCACTGCCGTACCTCGCGACTGTGACAACACAAATAATCCTGGATGATGGCACTACGCCATTAGTACAGCATACTACATTTCTTGCCATTAGTACGGCATACTACACTTGACTAGTATGGCCTGCGCACGCTTTCGAAAACAAGATAAGCCGCCAAAGTATAGGACAGCACTGGCGCCGTAAACGCCCAGGCGACGGATTGCCATGATCTATATAACCGTACCGTACATCGTACACTTCCGCGTCCTCCAGGAATTCCTACAACACATCAAACTCTCAAACTGCCGCTCCTCTATAAAACAGAGACCCATACTATCAACACGAATAAAGGGCTGCTAACGGCCCCAACCAAGAACACAACCGTACCGCCCAGGAACATGCGCCAGGAAAACAAGTGCTGGCGATCCCCCCCCCCCGGGCGGAAAAAGCCAAACCTCCGAAAACAGGTTTACCCCGAAGACATTTTTAGGGAGCAACACACGACCAACAGGTCAAATGGTACGAAAACACCGCCCTGCACTCTTCCTGTGCCCCCCAGGAGGAAACAAAACGATGATTTCGGAACACAGCCGGGCATGACCCTTAGGCACTGCAACCGTACGAACACCGCTTGCCCTGCGTCAAATCGCGACGCGAGTCACGGGTTGACAACAGGATATGCCATCATGATAATGATGATTATGATGATAATGATAATGATGATGAACAATATGCTGCGCTAGTTCACAAACGTATGTGTTTCGGAGGAAGCAAAGAAGCAAGTCTTCCTGAAATCCTCCGGAGGGATCAAGCTGCGTTCAAAGCAACCGGCTGCAGCCCACTACCTGGTTGCCCCCTCCGGCTCCTCAGCAAACGATAACAGACGTGAGGCTTAAACCCCAACCAAGTTCGTTTTAAAGCTCGGGCGGTTGAATTCGTTCCCCCACCCGGACCGCCACGCACATCTTATGTTCGTCAGAGGACATGACACTTGTGCTTTGGCCAACAGCAAGAGACAGAGGACAATTTGTCAAAGAAGGGAATTCGCCCTATTACAGAGACCAAGGACCTGCCCACTTGTACTAGTTCATCATCGAAAAGGTCGTAACGTACACAAAGGCTCTACTAGATGCAATGCACAAGTTCTCCGTGTACAAACGAGCATGACGCGCTCGACGGCTCTGTTCGGCCCCACCGGCAGCTGGGAGCAGCAGCCGGAAAGCCTTCGGGCAGCACCTGGCGGAGGAAATGACCGCCATCCGCACCCACACCAGCACCCGCCGCTGGGCACGTGAACATGAAACCCGCCATGTCGTGCGGGGTTCATCCCTCCAGCCTCGAGGTTCATCAACTCAACCAACCACCCCTAAGGCCTCATCCTGCAGCCCGCATCCTGCAGACCGCATCCTGCAGACCGCATCCTGCAGACCGCTCTTGCAGCCTGCACACCACACCACACCCACAAATACACGCATATTCCGGCGCCGCTATTGACATCGAGGAGGAAAGACACCGATTCGCCTTCCCGGGAGCGAAACAGCGCCCGAAGCACCCTAGCACATACAAATGTTAACTAAAGTGTAGTAAAGTGTGGCCACCACTGCAGGGGGGGCACCTCCGACACCTATCGCTCGAGAGGTCGCCAGCGGCCCATGAAGCGGACACGGCAGCGAACACGGCTTGAGTGCCCGAAATGCTAAGTCCATTTCACCAAGCATGGGAGATCCTGGCACTGTGGCGCCGAAACCAACGAGGCCGCTCCACCAGAAAAAGTTCACCTCCGGGGCCCGGGAGGGAAGCGGTAGCCGGCTGGCCCCTGACCCCAGACTCGCTCGTTACAAAAAAAAGACGTAATGGAAAAGCTCCAACAACCTGGGGATGAACTCTCCTGCAACGCCGCCATGGCTGGATGCCACTCTCGAGATGATCTCCTGCCCCCCACAGACTGTAACCCATCCGCAACTGACCCCGTGCAATCGCACGCCATGTGTGTACGACAGTCGTACTACTGATTCGTACCCCTCCCAGTGCTCGCTAATACCCCGCGTGCAGAGCAGCAATGCGCTACCCCCCCTCGGACTCTGAACGAGGACATAGAGACACTCACCTTTCGGCGGTGCGCAAAGGGAGCCGAGGAGCGCGAGGACTCCCCCGAATTTTCCTTCTTAGGACGCCACCTGGGCGCCACCGTGGAAGGAATGCCAACCGACGCGATGAAAGAGTTTATGATGAGACTCCTTCTGGTTTTCTGCTCCACATCAAAAAAGGCCTAATAATGTAAATTTTAATGATACAGCTACACCCATCCAGAACCAGATCCAGATCCACACTGAGCAATCATGCCACACTGAGCAAATTAATCCTCCAGCACTTCGTCGCCTTCCTCGTGCTGGCTCCGGACACACCGCCACACCTCACACGCCGATTCCCGGGTGACAAAATGAGCAAAAGCCAACAAACAGACAAACAGACCGCAAACCGTCGAAGTCGTTCACTTCGGCATTATGGTACTCTTTCCCCTCAAACCACCCAACTGGGATGCGACAACGCTGTCCAGACATCTGAACCCATGCACTGCGCTTCCGAACCAACCGCCAAACGGGTGTCGAATCTCCGCGGAATTGCAAATAAAAGAAGAACGTTAAGGTAACTGGTATCAACAACAAAAACAATTCTTGCAATCTCTTCTTCTTCCACCACTCGCTCAGAACTCGCTCAGAACTTTTAATGCCGTAATAACACGCTTGTCAACACACGAGGCGTTTTCCTCTCGCCGCCATGGACCCGCTGGGGCAGCTGTCTAAACGGACAGAGCACCACCCCGCCTCGGAGTGGGGAGGGAAGGGGAGCGGGGAGGTGTCGCTTGACTGCGGTACATTGCTCGTCCTATCGTACACTTCACACGCTGAATCCTAACTGAGGCCTCAGACCGCCCTAAGCCATGCATATCCGTCGCCACCTCCCCAAACACCATTTCATAATCCTTTTCCGCCGTGTTGTCCCTCCCCAGTCCCAACTGAGCAGCGCCTAAGCGGTTCCTTCATACCGCCCACCCCCCAACCTACCTGTATGCTACATGCATATGTATACCTGCCAATATGATTTGTATCCCACCCAACAACACTGGAGTAGCTGTCGTGTCCTGCATCGTCATCGTCATCATCGTCGTCATCACCACCACGCCTGGACAGCCGTGGATCTGTGTCCTTCGTCGCACATTGGCGACCGAGTCCGGCCCCGCCTCCCCGGGAGGCCGGTACGCACAGCCGACTAACGAACCCACTAACGAACCCACGAGTGACGGCAGCGGCAGTAGCGGGCCTAGTCAGCGAGGACATGCCGCTGCCGGACTCAGGATGCGGGTGCGCTTCCGCCTCCACTTGTACGAGATGTCACGCGGTCGTACAGTTGCAAAGTGGCGGTGGCGTCGTACACCATCTGTGGGCACTCGCCTCCCGCCGGTGCTGCTGCTGCTGCTGCGCCGCCGCCGCCGCCGCCGGTGCTGCTGCCGCCGGTGCTCAAGGAGTTCAGATAGGACGGGAACAGGTTATAATGATGATGTTGTTGTTGTTGTTCCTGATTGTTTTGGTAAGTGGTGTTGCTCCCCGGCAGCGGGGCGGAAGCGGGAGCGGCCCCCAGCCCACACCCCGACGAACTCCTCCACACACCTGGACAGCGGCGGCGCAAGAGAACCGCACAGCGGGGCAGGGGCGACATGCCAGGGCGCGGAAACCTTTAACATGCGGGCGGCATGAAGGGGGGGAAGGGAGAAATAGCAGTGCTCCCGCCCGCCCTCCGTCAAGTGGACACAGTGGGTGGGATCACCCGGGTCACCCTGCAGGGGCAGCTCCCTCTTTCCACGCGGGGAGCCGCCTGCGGGACTGATTGCCCACATCGGAATGTCGTACACGTACCTCCAGGAGAAGAGGCAGCGCGTATGCCGGATGCGACGTAGCCGCTCCAAGTTCGCGCAAGGCCCTCGTTGAAACCACACGCACCATCACCACTGGTGCCCTGGGTGCTGCCGGGTTGCACCGCCACCAAAGCCGCTGCCGTCGGCGGCTGTGGTTGCGACGGCGAAAGATGCTGATGCTGCTGCAGCTGCAGCTGCAGCTGGGTGGGTGGCGGCTGGAGTGGGGCCGAGTGAATGGCGACAGACTGGTACTGGGCGGCGGGCGGCGGCCGCTCGATGGAAGCCGTCGCGGTGGCCCCGCCGCCGCTCAGAGCTCGCAATGGAGCCGGGCCTTGCGAGTGGTGGTGATGAAGCTGTGCAGCCCGCTGCATGTGCGCACAGGGCTCCGCAGGCGGGCGCGTTTGCGAGTGCAGGTGCGGCAATCCATGGGGATGCTGATGCGGCAACGGCTGTTGCTGTGGTTGCTGTGGTTGCTGTGATCGTGACCATGACGCCAGAGACATGCCGCCGATTCCCCCGCCTCCACCGCCCGATCCGGACTGTCGCGGGCTCGTACCGCTCCCGGCTCCTTGGGGGCTCGGCAGTGGGGGTGCGGGTGGGGGTGGTGGTGCAGGAGCTGGCAGCGACCCGCCATTGGAAAGGCGCGGATGATGAGCAAGTTGTTGTTGTTGTTGTTGCTGCTGCTGTTGCTGCTGCTGGTGGGGAGTGCTGGTGGGGTGCTGGTGGTGGTGAGGTTGTAGTTGCTGCTGTGGTTGCCGCGGGCTGGGTAAGGCGGGTTGCTGGAAAGACTGGTGGGTCAGATGGCTCGTCACGGCAGTGGACTGCTCCACAGCGCGTTGTCGTTTGCTCTTCCGGGACCCGCCCTTGGGGGTGAGAGGCAGGGGGAGAGAGAACCGGGGAGGGCGGGGGGCGTAGGGGCACGTGTGTCCTGAGCCGTGGAAAGGCGCGTGTGTGGTATTTCCACCCGCGTTAGGGGCGGTCCGAAGCGGAACAGGGTGGCGGCGGGCGAGGAGGACACAACGGCCTCCAGTAAGTTCCGTTTGGCCCAAAGTAACCCCAGCACAGCAGCAGGTGGGGGTGTGCACACTGCGCAGGGAGCTGTGGATACCATTACACACACCTCTCCCCATCACCCCCGGCCCCCACTGATGTCTATATACATACGGTGCTCTGATACCTTCTCGATCTGTTGCCACAGTTTCCCCCCCCGCCCTTCCACGCAACCGAGGCCACCCTACCTTGATGACTGGGAGGCCCTTCGCATTGAGCCAGCTACCCAACGTTACCGCGTGAGTGCCTGCCACCTGCCCAGTGAGGCGCAACAAAGATGGTAAATATATCTCGCAAGTCACACATCGTAATGCGGGAATACACCAATGCGAGGATGAGCCGCCGTCCGGGATGGCGGCATCCGCGAGCATGAAACACTACATAGCAGCTGTTTCATTCTCCTTTGGGGGGAAGGCCCACCATGAAAGCAAAACTTGTAACGACCTCTGCTGCAGCTTTCATAATGAAAAGTCCAACAATGGTGTCAAAGATGAACATGAGGTCAACATGATGTCAAAAAGGCTAGCACGCCAAATCAAAGCAGCCAGCCACGCCCCAAGTATAGTAAACTCACTCAATATTATCAACTCCTTCATTATTAGTTCACTGTTTCAGACCACAGCCCGCTCATGCCAAATTCACGTGCCATTCATGAGACCGACCACCGCACATCCGACTGCTCTAACACCGGTGCAGACAGTGAACCCCCGCAGCCCCACCTTGATAGAACAGTGCCACTTGGCGGTGGTGGAGCCGCCAGCCTTTTCGAAGGCGGATCGGCTTATGAACTTGTTCTCGTAAAATATGCAGTCCTGGAGGAGTTGAGGCCGCAGTGGCAGCCGACCCATGGGTCAATACGCGGAGGCCTCCACACACACTCCAAAGCTCACACCTCCCCCCCCATTCGTTCCGTCTTGCAATCCCTCCGCTAATAAGTCCATGTTCTACAGACCCGTTCGTAATCAAAGGCACCATAGAACTGCGCACGATCCTGTCCCAAGGTCGATATGCTAGCTGCTACATGCTAGCAGCTGCCCAGGCGCGTGCCATGAGCCACGGGCCTTCGTGCCGGAGGCCCGTCCCTGCCCCGGACAAGCCCGTCCCTAGCCCGGCTCCAACTCACGCACCCTCCTTACCCCCGCCTTATTCTCCCCCCCCCCCGGGCAGCCCGGCAGACCTGAAACCAAAACTCCTTGCGACACAAGTACATCCATACACCCACACATCGGAACCAACTCATGTACCCATCTGCCCACCCACCCACCCACCCCCGGTACAGGGGACCAGTGCAACAGAGGCACACGCACCTGGTTCGCCAGGTACCGCTCCGGGTGGAACACCCCCTGGATGGAGAGCCGCCGCCGCCGCCCGTCGTCACCGACTTGCCGGCTGAACCCCGTCACCGTCACCGCCACCGGCGGCGGCAGCTCCTCCGCCTTCCAGGCCCTACCCGCGCCTGGGGCGGTGCCGCCGTCGTCGTCGCCGCCGCCGCCATCGCTACTGCCGCCGCCGCCGTCGTCGTCATTACCGGCAGCTGCGGTGCCGCCGTCGCTACCGCTGCAAACAGCCTGCAAACAAGATGTCGTCTTTGCGGGCTGCGCACGCGACCGCTTCTGCAGGACAGCTCCGCCGGCACCGCCGCCGCTAGTCGTGTACCCGACGCTCACAGAGCCGCTACCCGTGCTGTTCCCAAGTGTCAGGGCACTCAGTCCGCAACCGCTGATGCTGCCCTCGCCGCAGGAGAAGCCCTGGCTAAGGCTCGCACTTGCGTTGCGGCCTCCGCCGCTTTCGCTGCCGCAGCCCCCACCGGGAAGGGTGAGGCGTGCGCCGCCGCCGCCGCCGCCGGCTCCGGGAGAGCATTCGGCGCCGCTGCGCGCCCTACCGGCCGTGTCACGGCTCTGGAGGTTTGACAGCGGACGGCGATACTCCCTAAAAAGCTGACCTGTTGGGGCGCCGTCGCCAGCCTGAGGGGGTCCCTCGAACAGCGGCTTCCCGAAGCCAAGGCTGCGGCTTGGAGAGACCAGAGCGAAAGGACTGGCAGCGAAATGCTCCGCGACCGTCGAAGTTTGCAAGGAAGGAAAGGAGAGCACTACTGGGGCTGGGGCTGGGCCACCGCCCGGCGGAGCAACTTCGCCGACAATGCGGTCGGCGACGGAGACGGCGGGTGCGGCGGCGGAGGTCGCTGGCGCGGTTACCGCCGGGCCGGTGAAGTCAGGCGCCGCGCCGCCGGCCGACGACGCCCGCTGCTGGAGGTGGGACGACGAGCTCGGCCCCCGCGACAGCGGCGCCGCATAGCTGTACGATGATGGCTGCGATGCCGGCCAGAAGTTCCCCACCCGCTGGTGCTCCTGCTGCAACTGCTGTTGCAGGGAGATGTTGCACGACTGCAGCGACCGCGCGGAGGACGAGGCAGACCAGGGTGGCTTTGGTCGGACAGAACCATGCGGCGAGAAGGTGGGTGTACCCGGCGCCGACCCGGACACTGAACCCGCCACGGACGGCCCCCCGCCCGGACCGGCGAGAGCCGCCACCGCAGCCTCGTCAATAAACTCAGCCATGCCGCTACTGCTGCCACGAGTGCCGTACGAGTCGTTTCGGCGCTGCCGGCGAGCCATCCCGCCAGGGGACGCCGGCTGCTGCTGCTGCAACAGCGCTTGCTTGGATCGACCGCCAAGGGCCGCGGCCGCCGCCGACGACGACAGCCGTACAGCATCTACCGCTCCGGAGCTGGCGTGAACGCGCGGTCCGGCAGTGCCTTCGGCGACTGCCGTTGCCGCCGCTGCTGAAGCAACCACGGCGGTCTCAGGCGTAGCTGTGGCAGCCCCGGCATCCGATGGCGCCCTTCCTGCGGTAGCCGCCGGTCCCAGACCGGCCGCCGCCATGGCTGCGATGAGCTCCTCGTTGTTGCTCGTGAAGCTCGGACGGCTCTCCAGCTGGGCACTCGTGCGGCTGTCCGAGGGGACAGAGGCCGTACGGAAGCCGCTTTGCCCCGCAGCTCCCATATGGCTGATGCCGAACTCAAATGGATGTCCTCCTTGCGGTGGCTGCGGCTGCGGCTGGGGCTGCGATGGCTGCTGCGGCTGCGGCTGCGATGGCTGCTGTGGCGGCGGCAAGTGCCCCCCCTGCGGGTCGGTGCTCGTCCACTCGGTCGCACTCAAGGGCAGCACCTGGAAAGAACACGACGGGTCCGCCGCCGCATGAGTCATCATCTGCTGCGATTGCTGCTCCCGTGATTGCTGATGCTCTTGTTGTCCTGAGGAGGGATGTGGTGGTGACGGTGGTGGCAACTGCGGGTGCGGCTGCCCCACCGGTGTAGCGTTGGGACCCCACGTACCAACAGCAGTGGCTGCAACTACTACTGGTGGTGGTGGTGGTGGTGCAAGGCATTCCCCTAGGCGACTGGCTGTGCCCTCGCCCTCGCCCTCGCCCTCGCCCTCGCCCTCGCCCTCGCCCTCGCCCTCGCCCTCGCCCTCGCCCTCGCCCTCGCCGGCATCATCATTTCCCTGCTCGACTGCCTGTGAGGCAAGAGCGGATAGAATGAGCTGGGCGCGAATGACTTCGCCTGGTACGAGCCCAACGCCGTACGGCTGCGATCGCGACCCAAGGGTCTGAAGGAGACTCGGAACGTCGGGCAGGTTGTCGGAGTCGAAGCTTTGGAGAGGGGGAGCGTCGGCCATGTGCGCCTGGACGTTGTTGTACTGTTGCTGCTCGAGGAGTTGGGCGGGTGGGATTGCGGCAAGGTCGCCTCGCGCACCGTCGACCGCGAGTCCGGCCCCTGACGGACGGCGTGACGGCGGATTAATGCTCAAAGTCGGTGCCATTAAAATGCCGAGTAGGTCGTGCGTGCTGCTATGTTCAGAAAGCGGCGGAAACTGCGGTGGCGGACGGTGTTGGTGCGTCGGCTCTGCGTTGCGTGCGTTGCGTGCGTCATCGGAGTCGTCGCTTAGATTGCCAGTTATTTTGGCAAACGCACTTCTGCCGCCGTACATGAGAAAGTCTTTCTGGCACCTGGTGTTCACGTCGGCACGGCTGCTGTCGCCTTGCTGGCTTGTGAAGCTCGAGTTGGCCGGTCGCTCGAAAGAGGGCTGCTCGCCGGCTGTGTCTGTTCCGCTCGATTCAAAATTGTCGCTGTCGCCCTCGTCGCATTCGCTATTTGTCCTCGCTTGGTGTCCACGTGGCGACGCAGGCAGCCCCGTACCGAATGTCACGTCCCTGTGCATAGAGCTGCTTAGAAGTATGGGATGCCCATTATTTTTCGCTTGGTGAAAGTGAGACAGGTTAAGATGGAAGTGGCCAGAGTGTCCAAGGTTAGCCTCGGAGAAATGCGGCATGATACATTTATCATTGCCATTTTACCGCCGTTCTGGCCATGGAAGGGAAACTACATGCTCGTTGGGACTCCATAACTCGATTACCTTGGATAAAAACGAGACCAAAGGCTGATCTCGGGAGCTGCAGAGACATAAACCGTTAACGGGCTTACTCGCAAGCTTCATCGCTGTGGGCCCTATGGTGCTTTCGCCATGCATGTAACGCCGCTAAGGCGGCCCTTGGCTCACCGGGCCAACGGTATCGTACCAACGGTACATCCAAGAACTATTCATAATCTTCCAATACCAAACGGTATTTATCAATACCACCTTTATCGTTGGATAATTTCCTTTTTCGCAACTGCTTGCCAACTGCAAGCTTTGTTACAATTTTGGTATCTTAGACCAACCGGTCAAAAGACCTCGGAGTCGAGTACTCCAACGCTTCCGCACCTACATCTCAGTTTCTTCAAACATTTTCTATTTAGCCCTCATGGCCAGTCCCAGGAACCCTCAACGCACCCAGTCGGCGGAGGCCGACCATGAGCGCTACCAGCTGCGCCAGGTGAGCCCGTCAAAAGCGCAAAAACTGGTACAAAAGGTCCAGGACATGTACGAAAAGTACGTGAGACGCGCCCAGCGTAGGGGCATAACACCGCCGTCGCGCATGTTTGACAAAGTCAGACAATTCTGCGAAGAGCAAGACTATCGCTCCGCACTAGGCTTCCTAATGGAAGCTAACGAGGAACTCTCTCACGTGCAGAAAAGCCGCGAAATGAGGGAACGCCTAGCCAATGCGGCGCAGGACGCCGACAACGACCCAACAGGGCCGGGGCCATCGCGCGCACGCACTGCGCAGCCAACGGCTGCCACAACGGGGCCGACCAGGGTAACGCTGCCCAC